AAAAATTGAATTATATTAACAAAAAGTCGAATATACCAAATTACACATATTTCCAAACTCAATTATTGCATTAACTTCATTCACTAACTTCTACAACAATAGTAAACTAGGATATTTAATACTAAACCTACCACGACCGGTCAAATGATAGTTTATTAAATTTCGATTAGAATTTAACGTAATTGCATTGCCTTCAAACTTCATATAATATACGTACAACATATATTTCAATATGTACAGTCTTACCTACCACTACCGGTCATTTGGACGATTGATCGTTTTATATCTTTTTATAAAAATTCTATCGAAGACTTAATTTTGAAACTTTCAGCAAAGAAAACTACGATAGGAATTGTTGGAATAATTTGTCCAAATGGAAGCGAGCTAAAGAAATTGGCGAAACAAAAAAAGGACACGTTTCTCAATAAAGTTATATCGTTCAAATAATTGCACTCTGACAATTTACAAAACTAAACCAAATAAAAAAACTACCGATTCTTGTATTGAAAACATAATTCCTAAAAAGTTGATGCCCGTATAACGGAGGTAATTAGATTATATAATAGCACCAAATCAGATGTAGATGTGATCGACCACATGACTAGAAAATAGACAGTAAATTTTAAATCTCAAAGATGTCCTTTACAGATATTTTTCATTATCAAAAACTTAACCTGGTTTTGTATAAAGAAACCACAAGAATTTTTATTTCAATTGGGAGAAGAAAACTAACAAAATCTGTCTAAAATGTAAAAAAAATATGTATATGGAAAATGTGCAATCCAGAAACTTTTTTGTAAAAATAAATAAAAAAAAAAACGTATAATGTACATTATTTATTTCTAAATAAAAGGAATTATATTTGTTCACTATTATTTGGCTATTATGTACATTCTATGATCATTTGACCGGTCATGGTAGGAATAAGTGAAGTTTTAGTGTAGTGAAAAAAAAACTGATATTTTTACCTTTTCGAAATCTTACATTTTTAATGGTTTCTTATCACCATTTGTCAAAGCTTCAAAAAATGTACATTATAAACAATTAGTTCGCAGTACAATTAAGCAGTATTCATCAAAAAGGTTGAGATAATTAGATTATATAATAACAGCAAATCAGATGTAGATGTGACCGACCAGATGACTAGAAAATAGACGGTAAATTTTAAATCTCAAAGATGTCCTTTACAGATATTTTTCAATATCAAAGACTTAGCCTGGTTTTGTATAAAGAAACCACAATTTTTTTTATTTCAATTGGGAGAAGAAGACTAACAAAATCTGTCTAAAATGTAAAAAAAATATGTATATGGAAAATGTGCAATCCAGAAACTTATTTGTAAAAATAAATGCGAAAAGAAAAACGTATAATGTATATTATTTATTTCTAAATAAAAGGAACTATATGTGTTCACTATTATTTGGCTATTATGTACATTCTATGATCATTTGACCGGTCATGGTAGGAATAAGTGAAGTTTTAGTGTTTAGAAAAAATTGATATTTTTACCTTTTCGAAATCTTACATTTTAATGGTTTCTTATCACCATTTGTCAAAGCTTCAAAAATTGTACATTATAAACAATTAGTTCGCAGTACAATTAAGCAGTACTTGTCAAAAAGGTTGAGATAATTAGATTATATAATAACAGCAAATCAGATGTAGATGTGACCGACCAGATGACTAGAAAATAGACGGTAAAATTTAAATCTCGAAGATGTCCTTTACAGATATTTTTCATTATCAAAAACTTAGCCTGGTTTTGTATAAAGAAACCACAAGAATTTTTATTTCAATTGGGAGAAGAACACTAACAAAATCTGTCTAAAATGTAAAAAAATACGTATATAGAAAATGTGAAATTCAGAAACTCATTTGTAAATATAAATGCGAAAAGAAAAACGTATAATGTACATTATTTATTTCTAAATAAAAGGAACTATATGTGTTCACCATTAATTAGCTATTATGTACTATTATGTATTCTATGATCATTTGTATTTCAATTGGGGGAAGAAAACTAACAAAATCTGTCTAAAATGTAAAAAAAATATGTATATGGAAAATGTGCAATCCAGAAACTTATTTGTAAAAATAAATGCGAAAAGAAAAACAAAATAAAAGGAATTATATTTGTTCACTATTATTTGGCTATTATGTACATTCTATGATCATTTGACCGGTCATGGTAGGAATAAGTGAAGTCTTAGTGTAGTGAAAAAAAAACTCATATTTTTACCTTTTCGAAATCTTATATTTTTAATGGTTTCTTATCACCATTTGTCAAAGCTTCAAAAAATGTACATTATAAACAATTAGTTCGCAGTACAATTACGCAATACTGATCTAAAAGGTTGAAAAACACTGATTTTGGCTTAAATTCACTTTGTCCTTAAGATATTCGTAATGTAAATAAACTTGTTAATACTGTATAAAGTTGTTAATACAAAAATATTTATCATTTTTATTTCACATCCGTTAAAGTAATATATGCAATTATTTTAACAGGATGTGTATCTTCACTATGATTCATTGAAGAAAGTCGTTAGTCAATGAATCACGAAATAGATTTGCAATTGAATGTACTACAAGATTTTAAATATCACATTCTTTAAACCTAATGAAATGTAAAAAAATACTTTATGATTAATTATTCTTCTATTCAATTATTGTTGTTTTATAAGTTTAGTTTAGTGTCTAAATACTAAAGTCTTCTTGTTTATATTGTTATGTTAATGCTATGTAAGTTCATTAAACTTAAATAAGTTTAATACTCTGGAGACAGCATACATATTGTAGAATTTCTATAGAATTGAAATATATCATAAAAAAATATTTGTTTGTAAGAAACTTGCAACTAATTAAAAGCAATTAAATAAATTGACTTAATTGACATAAGATTTTGACGTCTGTCAATTGTGTCAACTGCTAATTATTAATATGAGGTTAGATAACACCAACTTTGATTTACGTAACTGTAGTTGGTACTTCTGAGAAATTGCATTCTATGAGAGTTTAGTGTCTAAATACTAAAGTCTTCTTGTTTATATTGTGATGTTAATGATATGTAAGTTGAGGTAGCAAGGATTTTAAATTGTCAGAGAGTCTCGAATCACGTTCGCTAATTAAAACTTGCAAGATATCCTTTAATCTAAGGAGAGCGTTTGCTAATTTCCTGTCTCCGTCAATATCCCCGGATTTGTGGCCTGCGGCGGTTTTGGATTTTCTGGACGATCGTTGGAAAAGGTGGGCAGAGAGAGCAAACACATTGCCAGGAATGCACACTAAATAGAAGTCATCAAATAAGTTTATAGGGTTGGGGGACATCGGCGAAAGCGAATTAAGCATCGCGTAAATCGAGTTACACGCTAAGTGGGTGGGAGGAGGAGGAGAGAGCGGAACGATGGGGTTGGTTTAGCAGGGCATCATCGCCGTAGGGGCGGGGGGGTGTATGCAGGAGAGGCGAACCACTCCACTTCGACGGTTCGGTTAATGGCGCGGACTAAATCATACGATATTTAAATTTAAGTTAATTAGGTAGACGGAGTGCTAATGGCTAATTACACGTGCCTCGTCGGGGCAGACAGGTGAAGAGATTGAGTGCACTTCCTAAGTGTTTTCTCGATGCCTTCAGAAACGTCAGAGATGAAAATGAAGAAGAAACGAATTCAGGTTAATACTATCATTTTTTTTTCCGCCTTACGGTCATCTTCATCAATTCGCAAATGTAATTAATCGTAAATTGAACGTAATTTAAACGAATTAAATATAATTAGCGTGAATTGAGTCAAGAGTAAATAAATCTCTTTCAATCAGCGCTCTTCTTAAACACTTCATGTAAATCATTCATCGAATTATTCATACAATTTAACAAATTATTTTACAATTTAAATACTTCAATTCAATGCAATGATTGAAAAGGAAATTAACAATTAATTAGTTTTTCAAGTAATTGAAATTCCCAAAGTTTTTTTTACAAGTAATTACACATAATCATTTAAATAATCATAAAACAATGAAAGGTCTTTATTTTTGTTTGCATAATACAGTGGAATCTCGCTTAACAAGCAAAATTAATTGTAAGAAATATGATTCGCTTAACGAGCGACGTTTCGCATAACGAGTGTCGATGAGAAGAGAAGTCCCGGATTGTACGCATTCTACATCATTTTTACTTGGAAATACGGAAATTTGGAACGGATTAAACTCGTTAAGTAAAATTGATTACAAATATTGATGTTATTTAAATTAGATACGTAAAAATTAACGTCTTTTTGCATCAGACTAAATAAAATATTGTTTACAACTTTGGTAATTTTTCAAATCTTTTACTGCTTTAAAAAAAATATTTGTCTGCTATACAAATACAATTTAACTAAATTATCATTATTATCATTTTTTATTATAATTTTGTATTGTAAATAATCAAGAATTAATAAATAAATTTGAAGATTTCTTCAACATTTACATTTAATACAAAATAAAAATGAAACTACTTTAATTATTAACCAAATGCAACATATGAAATATCTATGAAAAGTTTAAAAAAATATTCCATAAAATGTTAAAAAAAATCATGGAAAATGTCATCATTCTCTTATAAATATTTAAATTGATTTCAACAATTAAAAGTATCCAATTGCATTGTTTTAATATTGAATGTGTTTGCCTATTGATATTGAAATAAAAAAAAAAGTTCGTTTCTTTGTATAATTTTAAACTTTAAAAGATTTATTGCATTAAATTTGATTAATAGTAATTAGTAAAGTTTATAAGGTTTGGTATTATACGTTTAAAATTGTGTAATTTCAAAATAATGTTATGTAATAGTCACACCCTTAGAGGGATTGGAAATTCGCGCTGTAAGTTACACGATGCGCCATCTAATAACAGTCATTGCAAGATTACGTAACAAACTGTATGGAATCCGCGTGCGGCTTCGACGCCCACGCGCTAGATGTCACTTCACGCGGGAAATTCGAAATGGAAAATGTTCGTACCTCCACTGCAGATTGGTGTAGGGCCACTTCTGACCCTGCAGCATGTACCGCTTCTGGCGTCGCGACGTCGGTCGCACGTCCGGCATCCCGCATCTCGGCGTCGCCAGAAGCCTCTGCGTCCTCGAATCCACCGTCCCGGTCACCTCGAGTCCAGCGAACTCCTGCAGTTCCTTGATCGCCTGCCGCACGGACTCCTCCGTCCTCAGAGCTCCAACCCCGTGCAGATTGTTACTCAAATACCCGTACTTCGTTAAAAACTGATGCTGCAAAAGAGAAAATGAGTTCAAGTTTGAGAGATTCGAATTGTAAATCATCCAATTAGTGGAAGCGACTGCTGACAACTAAATAAATAAATTTGAAGAAAAAAAACAAGAAACAAATGTAAAGCAGAAGAAGGGTGGAAGGAAACAGAAATAATAAACGAGTACTTTAAGTATGCAGAAATAGCGAATTCAAAGGAAATATAAATTCGAATTAAAGTGCACACGACGAGGTTTTAAATAACGAGACGCGTTTCCAAATCATCTTTCGGTGATGGAGAGAGAGAAGAAATGCAGGAATAATGCATAACTCTCGTTACGTATTAATGCCGAAGACTTCTCTTGTTTGCTGCGTCTTGTTGTTGTTGTTGTTGTTATTGTATATTCTTGACTTCGCTTATAACCGCAAGTTATTAATTAAGATGCCAATCGTCTCGATTGGTTATGAGCGATGCGGATTCTCTGAATCGCGTTCATTTTTATGTTCGGGTTGCTTAACAACCGTCATATCCATTTGGCGCCGCGGATTTTCGGAGAGGAAGTGCGGATTCTCTACCATCGCGAGAGAGACGAGTTTTTCGAGCGATCTTCTTTCTATAAAAGAGCAATGCCCACCAGAAGTAGCAGCAGCAGCAGCATCAGATGGTTGCAACTCTACCATAAATGTCAACCGTTCGACGTTATTTTTAGGCGCGTTTAAAAATAACAATTAAACGGTCTCTCTTTTTCCACCGGAACTTTCGACACGCCATTAAAAACGAGAAGAAATTGAAATCGACGCATAAACAAATGAGAGTCTAGACCATGTTGCATTAATAACATTAATTATGGCTCCGCTTCTCTCTTGTTTTTTTTTTTGTTTTGTTTCATGATTAAACCCATAGGGGAAACCGCCAGACACCATCTGTCATTCGGTCACGAGCCTCCTATGCATTATATTTTTTTTCGTTGGTTTGTAAAACCCCAATTTAAGTGGTTGACGGATGGACAGACGTGTGGGTGTGGAAAATTGATTCTTCCAGCGAAAATCGATACCGCGAATGCAACGAATATATGGTTTAAACAAAGAGGTTTTGGGTGCGTTGGTCTACGTGATTTTCAACATTTAAAAATAACCGACACTCGACCTCAGAAAATGCGCTAAATATACATAATACAATATTTTACATCGAAATATGAATACACAAATACAATTTTGTATTCGCTGTTAACTTTTTGTTAACTTTTTGCAATCTTCAAGAAATTTATACAAAACTATTTTTAAGTGAATGTGAAACATTGTGAACTTTTAAATTGCATTTTGAATCATTTATCTTTACTAATCAATAAGTATTGTAACATAGAAAAATATTGATTTTTAATAAAATTTTCTTTATTTTAACATGGAAAAATTGATACTGAAATATAGATTTTCAATAAACTTTCTATATTAATCAAGAATTATTTTAATATCGAAAAATTGTTACAAAAATATTGATTTTCAATAAAAAAATTCATTAATTAGACAATTATTTCAACAGCAAAAAATTGTTACAAAAATATTGATTTTTAATAAAAAAAAAATATTTTAACATCGAAAAATTGGTACTAAAATATAGATTTTCAATAAACTTTGTATATTAATCAAGAATTATTTTAATATCGAAAAATTGTTACAAAAATATTGATTTTCAATAAATTTTCTTTAATAATTAACTTCAACATCTCAAACTTAATACACAAATACAATTTCACATTTTCTTGACCTCCAATTTTGTAATTAAATCATATTTCTTTCTTAATTAACAATTATTCAAACATCTTCATCATCGATTAAAATAATAGTACGTTATTAAAAAAAAAACGTTTCAGCCTTGGTTCTCTGCTCTCCTCCAATGAGTTAATTGTAATTCCTTCATCATTCATTCGAATTTCCTGCTTCATAATTATTCACACCGCAAGAAAACTTGTTACAAAAAAAATACAAATATTTTTTTACAGCGAATTAAATTGAGTATTCGATTAAAACCCAAGAAATTTCCATGCGTGTAAATAAAACATTTATCATTATTTTTTTCCTAAAACTACCACAACTTTAAAGTGAATACATTAAAAATAACTGAAATATTAAGGAAAGTTGTAATTTCTGGCTTTAATATTAAGATTAAATAAATATTGAATGAGTTTTGGCTAATGAATTTGGAAAATGTTTAAATTTATAAATTTTACAATTAAAATTACAATTTAATAAATATTTTTTTACAGAGAATTAAATTGAGTATTCGATTAAAACCCAAGAAATTTCCAAGCGTGTAAATCAAAAATTTATCATTATTTTTTCCTGAAACTACCACAACTTTACAGTGAATACATTAAAAATAACTGAAATATTAAGGAAAGTTGTAATTTATGGGTTTTATATTAAGATTAAATAAATATTGAATGAGTTTTGGCTAATAAATTTGGAAAATGTTTAAATTTATAAATTTTACAATTAAAATTACAAGTTAATAAATATTTTTTTACAGCGAATTAAATTGAGTATTCGTTTAAAACCTAAGAAATTTCCAAGCGTGTAAATAAAAAATTATCATTATTTTTCCTGAAACTACCACAACTTTATAGTAAAATTAAAATCCTTGTAGTTTCCAAATTGTAAAGCTTAGAGGTTAATACTTAAGTTAAGTAATTTATAGAAATTTCTCACTATGCATTAAAAACAACTGTAATATTAAGGAAAGTTGTAATTTCTGGCTTTAATATTAAGATTAAATAAATATTGAATTAGTTTTGGCTGATAAATTTGGAAAACTTTTTTAACTTTTCCAATTAAATTTATTACTTTACTGTTTATATTAAATCAAAATATTGAATGAGTTTTGGGTAATAAATGAAACTGTGAAGATATTTTGAAAAATTATTACCCCAAAAATTTAACCTTTAGTTAGTTTCACGCACTCGAAAACCCTCGTTCATTGTGACATTCACTCCCCCTGCACTCATGATTCTAATTTTTTTCAGAACCTTTTTCGGTCTTTTTTTTCAATGTGCGTTATCTGGGTGCAAAATCCACTTGAAGGAGACAAATCGAGTCCTCACGAGATACATCCGCTTTCTAGTAACTTAATTTAGAAAAAGAAACGAACAAAAAAGACAAGAAGATATAGATAACGTGGATTACGCAATTACTTACACTAATTAGAGTAGATTAACCGCTTTTCTTCTTTCCAGTAAAACATCAGTCATAAACTTTGTATTGTTTAGGAAAGTTAAGCAAATTTGTGACTGAATTGGTGATTTGTAAAAAAAAATGTCAGAACTAAAAGTTAAAAAGTAAAGTTTTACTAGATTAATCATCAAAAAAAAAAACATTCATTAAGTTTAAAAACAAGTGCGTATATTGATATACCTTGAAAATAAACTGTGCGGTTTAAAAACCCACAAATGGTTAATGTTTCCACATCCTTCCTTAATAAGTATACAAAATTAGATTAAATTAGCAAAAACTAATAGGTTTATTCTTTACGGTTTTTAAAATACTTGGAAATTTCAGTGTGCTTGTGTCTTTTTTTTAATTTTTTTTTGTCGTTTGTTTCAAATGGAGAGAATATAAAAGCCTACGTGTTTCTTCGGTTATCTCGACTGCACAGAAAACTGTTTACATAATCTGACTTAGTAGGTGTATTCAAGTGAGCTCTGTAATACCCATATAGTGCAGCTCGGCAATAAACTGGGAGTAACTTAAGAAAAAAAAGGAAATAAAGAAAGAAGTAATAGTTTTACTGCTCCTTAGGATTAGTTCGAGTAGTAAATTCTCTGCTTTATTTTCCTACTTCTTCGGGCTTACAAACTTGTAATAACGATGATACAAATGTCAGGGGTTTAAAAAGTAAAAGAAAAAAACGAACAAAAGACTTTTGAATTACAACTTATAATGATGGTTTTTCTTATAAATAAAGTTGTAGCTGTTATTGCTAACTTAATTTGTTGATTCCTCGAGTTTAAAAAAGCTTGTAATAATTATGATGTAAATGTCGGTGTATACACCGACTTTTGTCGATGTAATAAACGAGATTTATTGAGGTAAAAAACGACATTTGTCGAAGTGAAAACCAATATTTGTCATGGTAAAAACCGACATTTCTTGAGGTACAAAACGACATTGACGAGAACACAAAAAAGTAAAAACCGATATTTCTTATAAATAAAGTTGTAGCTGTTATTGTTAACTTAATTTGTTGATTCCTCGTGTTAAAAAACACTTGTAACAATTATGATGCAAACGTCGGTATATACGTTTTGTGTATGTCGTAATAAACGACATTTATCGAGTTAAAAACGATATTTGTCGAAGTGAAAAGCAATATTTGTCATGGTAAAAAACGACATTTGTCGAGGACACAGAAAAGTAAAAACCGATATTCGTCGAAGTAAATACCAATATTTGTCGATGAAACGAATATGAACATATAACGAGGATTTTTCTAGAAGAAAAAAAGGATCGTTTTTCATTAATTAAATTATCTTAAATTTTATAAATGAAATTTGTAACAAAATTAATTGAAAATTTAAATTGTGAAATTAATTGGAAACGTTTTTTTTCATTCGTTCAATTATATTCAATTACAATTAAAACGAATAATAATAATTATTGTTAAGAATAAATTTAATTTGAAAGTTTAGATTGGAAAATTGAATGTGAATTACACAAACAGCGTAAGGAAATCGTGAATCGTTCGTTTCCTTTGCACAATGATTTCATTAAAGGGCACGGCACGTCAATACGAATTATTTAGTCATGCATTACAGGTAAAACTACGTCCAACAATAATATACTCAGTAATGAAAACGGATTTGAAATGAAAAAAAACAAACAACGTAATTACATGTTCTTTTTTCTTGTTTCGAAACAATTGTATATTAAATAAGTTTTAGAATCGAGCGGTTGCGTTGGAGAAAAAAAAGAGATGAAATGGGGTTAACGAAACTTGCATGATAATGTTATCTAGGAACTATTTCATTGT